CTCTGAGCTTTGAGCCTTACATCTGGTAAAACGGAAAACCACTCTGGCCGTGCTCAGGCGCCGAGAGGGCGCTGGGAATCCTGCCGTTTATCCTACTAGCACAGAGCCATCCATTGAGTGACTACACTGGGAGCCGCTCTGAAAACATGCCACGAGCAACGCGATGGAGAAAACACCGAAACCGAAGCGCTTTCCCGGAGCAGCTCCATGCGCTTCGTGGCCCCATTGGCAAAGCGCGAGAGCACGCGAATCTTAAAACTAGCCGATGCTCTGACTGCCGCCTGCCGCGGATTGCCCGCTCGAGGCCCACCGGCTCCATTGCCGTTGCCGGCGAAGATGGCGCGATGCACGCTCTGGCGGCCCCAGCAACTCCAGCTGCGACGCGCCCCGCCGAGTTGGGTGCCGACCCCCCCCCCTGAATCTGGAGAGGGGCCAAACCGCTCAACCCGGAGCAGGCGAAATCTGCAGATTTGCGAAATGTGTTAATTATGGCGATGAATGTCTCGTCGTCTCGGGTCCCTCTGGGGGCCGCATCAAATCCACATATTGCCATATTCTGTTCCAGAGTGTGTGGATTTGGAACAGGTCGGGGCCTGAGGGGAGGCGAATGACGAGGGCGCCCACAACGCGCAGAATGGCATTATCTGCGTCCGAAATGGCGCTTGTTTTGCGGTTCTCCAGAATGACAGGATTTCAGGCCCCCACCGGCATCCAACCGCCGAGGGCCGCCGGCAAGCCCCAAGTAGGACGTCTACTAGATAGGCCCAAAACCCCGGGCCCTTCGCCGAGGCCGCACCGCTCTCGGGTCGCAGGTCCGCGCGGCCCCTCACTTCGGCTGGCGCCAGGCGCAGCCCGGCCCCCTTCCCTTGAGTTTGATCATACTGCGGGAGCCTCCTGCACCTGCCGAAGCCTGCCTCAGGGCCCGTTAATTCGAACTCTGCCGGTTTATTGACTGCAGCGCTCTGCTCGTTCTCTACTACTGAATCCGCGGCCCGCACAGCGCCCCCCCACCCCCACCACCGCCCCACCCCGCCGCCCCGCAGCCCCCCCGCAGACGGGTCGATAGAGGCACGCGCGTAAGAGGAGGAGAGATGACTGGCTAGCACTTGGACTTCGGCCAACAGCAATTCGCATATGGCCTCTGATCAGCAAGCAGCTGAGAAGCTCTTCCAACAGAAAAAGCAGCCATCGCCCACCAGTGCGCCACTGGGTCCGATGCGGATGAGCGTTACTACTTGTGCTCCTGGCTTGAAAATGAAACGCCGAGCATCGCCTCTTCCTCGGCGCGCAATCCTTGGGCCTGGCGGCAGCGCATGCGCTGCGATAAAGAACTCTTCTAGTCTGGATACCCATCCGTCGGACCCGATGCCGCTGCCCAGCGTGGCCTTCTCGTCTAGGAGGTAAGCTCGGAACTGCCGCGCGCAACTAACCGTGGGTGCCCTGGGCACCCTGCCCCGCTACTCTTCCACACACACACACACAAACACAAACACAAACACAAACACAAACACAAACACACACACACACACGAAAAACACACACGCACATACACACGAAACACACACACGCGCACACGCACACACACACACACAGACACACGCGTACACACACATACACACACGCACACGCACACGCACACACACACACACACACAGACATGCGCCCTCATACACACAGACACACACACACACACACACGCACGCACGCACGCACGAACGCACGCACACTCAAACACACACACACACATACAGACACACACACACACACACACACACACGCGCGCACGCACACACACACGCACACACACAAACACACACACACACAGAGACAGACAGATAGACAGACAGACAGACAGACAGACAGACAGACAGACAGACAGACAGACAGACACACACACACACACATGCACACACACACCTCCTCCGACTACGAATCCCCCCCCCCGCCCGCGGTAACGATCCTCGCGGCAGAGGTGCCCAAGGGCGGCGGGCCCTTTGAAGGAACTCACCGCTGTGGCTTCTCTGCATCCGTGGGCCTCCTTATAACGCTATGCTCAGAGTATGCTGCGATTGTTATTTCTCCGCGGTCTTCCTGGAGCGCATGCTGTATCGGCCCTCGCCAGTTCGTGAAAGGTGGCGGCTCGGTGACAGCCAGCCCGTCCTTCCTGGCGGCGGCTGCCTCAAATGCTCGGGCAAAACTGATGACCTTCACATCGACCCCCTCATTCAGATATCAAATCGTACCTTCCAGCCGTAATGGCTGTTGCCTGCCCCGAAAATGGACCCGTGCCTGCTACGATTTCCTGAATGTGATACTGCGCCGTCTTGAACGTCACTAACATATCTAGCAGTCAGCACTGCTCCAAGGCGCATGTGTATCAGATATTGTGCGGAACACTGATGCATTCTCAGACTAGGTGCGGCCATCCACTAGTTCCAATGCCCCTGGCCAACAATTCCAATCGCCGAGAACGATCCAACGTCTTCTGAGATACTGCAAGGGAGACCCTCGACTGGTCCACATGGCAATGCTGACCCCTCTGCGCCCTGCTCCCGTCGCGAAGCGAATGCCATGCATGCTGAAAGCTTGGCCAGCTACCTTAGCACCGCAGTCTGGAAACCAACCACATCATGAAAGTCTACTCAACTGGTTACACTGTGTTGGCCCTTACTGATGTCCCTGAGCCCCATGGTTGCATGGGGGGGCCCCGGCAAGGTGCCAAAACGATTCGATTTAGAGCTCCTCCAAAAACCTGCTGCTACGTTACCTGGTCTGCCACTCTCCCCCGAGCTCCAGCCCAGGGTAAACACTGGTTTGAAACCTGCCCTGGCCCGAACCGGGACGCGCAGATTTGCTTCATCCGGCGGAGTGTGCACCTTTGGTGTCTTGCTTTCAGCAGGGTCCTCGCCGCCGGACCGGACTCGGACAAGTTCCACACGTATGGGACGCAACTCTTGGCTGAGTCGTCCCTGTGAAATATGATGCCGAACTCGCTGCTGTGCTGCCTGTCGAAGTCGGTTGATATCCTGTTGTGTTTCCTCCACGAGCTGCTTCTTCTTGGCACCAGCGTCTGGCACCTGTGCTCCTCCTGCCGGCACGGCAGGCGCTTGGCCCGACTCGGGCCCTGCTTTGACTGCTGCTGCGCCTGCGCCAAAGGCTGAGGCAGCAGGAGCAGCCCAAGGCTCAGCAGGAGGTAAAAAGACATGACATCAACATCCTCGCCAGTCCTGTGCTTCTCGGTCCCTCGTGATGTCGCTTCTGCCGCTTCCTTCTGAATGATCCCGAGGTTCGCTCTGAGTGTTCCCATGGCCTCTTTGATGGACTTCTAGAGTAATCCGTTGACTGATGTCGACGATCTTCTTGGTTGCCTCCTGGAGCTCGAGACCTCCGCGCAAGGCCCCAGAAGATAAAGTGATCTTCATGCAGTCGTTGATCGCCGAACCCACGTCGACGGATGCCACTGCGTTGTCAGGTCCTGATGATGGCATATGTTGCGGTACTTTCGTGGCCGCGTAGATTTGGGGAGAGGAGCATGAGATGGGAGCGGACAGCGATAATATACACAACGCGTGTTCGTCGCAAGGCTGTCCTGCAAACGCGGCCGAAAATCCAGCCAGGTATTCGAGAAAAAACGGGCTCGGGCCTCACCACGAGCACGTTGCTGCTTTCTGCCAACGCCGGCTCCGCCTGCACCAGCTCCTGCTCTTCCTTGGTGCGAACCCATCTGCCACGCGCCTTCTCCAGCGCCTTCTGCGCGCGAGCCACCCGAGTAGCCGCTCGCTGGAGCAGCTCTGCTAGCCTCTCGGGCTGGGGCGCTGGCTGCTTGTGCTCCAGCGCACGTAGCAGCTCCTGCACCTCCTGGCTGGCTGCGGTGTCGCTGCCGTTGCGGGCCATTGCTCACAAGGCTGCCTGAAGGTAGGTGCACTGGTCCTTGGGCTTCGTGCCTGCGTAGTTGGCGAGCTCTTTCTACCGCTCATTGTGCGACGACCCGCTGCCTCCTCGGTCTTGACAACAGCCGTCCCACTCACCATGCTTCGTTCTGGACTCCTGCAGCGGGGCTCAAGAAAGACACGTGTATTCTACCGACTTGAGCCTGTCCTGGAAAACACAGCGGGGGCATGACTGGCAGAAGATCTTGCGTCGAAACGTCGGGCGTGACCAGGATTAAGTCGGGCGTGTCCTCCTACAGGGGGATTTTCGACGAAACAAAAAAAAACTCCAAAAAAATACAAGATGGACAAAAAATAATCGAACATAGCCCCCATACTATGTTTTTACTATTTTTGAATACTCCTCCTGTAGAGGTACAGGCCCGACTTAAGACCAGGATGGAGCGTTCCGATCACTGTTTTTCGGAGTGGACCCACGACACCCTCCTGTGAGCCCACGGCTCTCGCCCCTGATCCATGGCCCGGGGCGCCGTCGGCCGTTCCTGCGCCCGAAACGAAACGTGACTGCGATCGTAAAGCTTGTCTGAGTTCCTCGTCCGACCTGGCAGACAAGGGTGACTGTTGGGCTTAGGTCGGGCCTGTCCCCCTACGGGGGGATTTTAGACGGAAAATAAAACGCATGCCAAAAATATTCAAAAGATGCCCAACAAATACTCAGAAATAGTCCCCAGACTATTTTTTGGACTATTTTTGAATCTTCCCCCTGTAGAGAGACAGGCCCGACTTAATGTTGGGCCCGTCTTCCCCCAGCGCCCGCGTGGCCAGGCCCCGTGCCAAAGCGACTGCGGAATTGAGCCAAGCTTGCTGCGGAGGATGCGGAGGAAGCGGGCGGCAAGCAGAGGGGCGTCGGGGGAGGGGGGAAGGCTTCTGAGCAGGAGGCCGCTTCTTATAGAAGGCGCCGGTCCTGCGTCTACAGACAAGGCCCAGGCCTTCTAAGAAGCAGGGGTGCTTCTGAGGAGCCCCCGCCCTCCCCCCACAGCCCCCCCTGCGCGCGGCCGAGGAGGAGGAGGTGGACCGAGAGGGGTGCCCGAGGAGCCGGAGCGAGGCGTCCTCGGCGAGGCGCTGTCCCTGCCATGGCCCCGCCTTGCTCCAGTGGGGCCCGAAGGTGCGGGCGTAGTCCACGCCGGTGGTGTTCGCCACGAAGTCCTCGGCGGCGCTCGCCGCGCAGCTCGCGCGGCAGCCCGCAGGGGTGGGGCAAGGGGGGAAACATCGAGCGCGAATCGGCGAGGTTCGAGTCCTGAGGTTTTCGAACGTTTTCGTTGGTTCTCGGAGGCTGTCCAGCCTCGGGATGCCGTCCAGCGGCTGCGTCTCGCCGAGAACGTTCTGGGGGTGCCTAGATCGTCCCGAACGGCCGCCGAAGACCCAAATTATGGCCCGAAAACCCAGCGATGAGCAAGAGGGCAGCCTGCAGGAATCAGTGCCCTCGACCCGCACGGGGTGGCTGCTTGGATCCCCCTCCAAAGCGGGGCCCCGAGACGCCAGGACTTCGAAGTCGTGTCCTTCGCCAGCAAGCTGTTACAAAAGGGCGTGCCTAACCGAACTAATTACCACGCGTTGCACACGAGTGGGTGACCTCGTACCGACACCGGCGACGATGACTTAGTGGCGACGAGCTAGAGCTCGCAGAGAGTGGTGACGGTTGCGCAGATCACATCACACAGGGACGCGAAGTCCCGCTTAGCTCTGCGTAGGACGCCACTCCGCTGGACCTCCCAGGAGCTCACGCAAGCGGCATCAGCTTCGAACTTGGCACCAATCAAGGAGGCGTTGTCCCGCTCGGATCTCCACAGGACGTCACTCCGCTGGACCTCCCAAGACTGGTCCCAGGAGCTCGAGAAAGCGGCGGCAGGTGCGTGGTTGGTACCACCCAGGCAGGCGAGGTTCTGTTTGGGTCTGCGCAGGACGTCGCTCCCCTGGATCTGCCAGGAACTCACGAAAGCGGCGACAATTGCGCACCTAGCACCAAGCAGGGAGACAAGGTCCCGCTTGGGTCTGCGCAGGACGTTTCTTCGCTGGACCTACCAGAAGCTCACGAAAGCGGCGACAGGTGCGCAGCCGTCACCAGCAAGGGAGGCGAGGTCAGCGTGGGACGTCGGTGGACCTCCCAGGAGACGACGCAAGTTGGGATGATCGCGTACCCGGCATCACCAAGGGGAGCGAGGTCGAGTTTCGGTCTGCGTAAGATGTCAATCCGCTGGGCCTCCCAGGAGCTCACGAAAGCGGCGACGGTTGCGTGGTTGGCAGCACCCAGGGAAGTGAGGTCCCGCTTGGGTCTGCGTAAAACGTCAGTACCTTGGATGTCCCAGTTGCTCACATAACGGTGAAAAGAATAGGACAAGGATTTGTGTAAGCCACCACGTTTTCAAGCAATCGTGATCTAACTTGTCTGAAACACTGCGGTACCATCCACCGACGCCCTGCGCAGGGCCGGGATCCGTGCTCTCACTCCCCCTCTCTCTCTCTCTCTATCTCTCTCTTTCTGTTTTTCACTATACACACATATACATATACATCTGTGTGTACTTCCATATACATACATGTATTTCGCCCAGGGGCTCATGACAGTGGCGACAGCTGCGCAGTTGGAATCACCCAGCAAGGCGAGGGAGACGAGGACCCACTTGTATCTGCATTGAACGTCACTCGGCTGGACACCTCCAGGGCTAACGAAAAAACGGCGATGGTTGCACAGTTGGCACCACCCAGGGAGGCGTCTTCCCGTTTGGGTCTGAGTAGGACGTCACTCCGCTGGACCAGGCTGGACCTCCCGGGATCCCACGAAAATGGCGACAGTTGCGCACTTGGCAACACCCAAGAAAGCGAGGACCCCTCAGGGTCTTTTTCCCCATCGCAGGCACGCCACCAACAGCTCGCCCAGAGGAAATGATCGGCAACAGTCGCTGGAAATAATGATGACGAAACCAAGGGCGGCCGCCAACAAGACCAAGGGTGGCCGCCGACATGACCAAAGGCAGCCACCGACAAAAAGGAGGAGGCATGAGGAGGGAGCCAGAAGGCAGGAGGGGAACGGGAGGTAGGAGAAGGTCCCCTCTGGGTCTGCATGGGACGTCGATAGGGCGCCAATCTAATCAAGGTGCTGAACCGTCTGGGAGCTCACGAAAGTGACGACACTTGAACAGATGCCAACACTCAAGAAGCGAGGTTAGTTTGGGTTTGCGTAGGACGTCACTCCGCTGGACCTCCCAGTAACTCACGAAAGAGGCGACAGGGTGCGCACTCATCATTAGCAAGGGAGGCGAGGCCCTGGGTAAGGGGAGGGAAGAGAAAACACTGATGCAACGCAGGGGACTCGAGGAGGCAGCAGGGGCAACGAGAAGGGGAGAAGGCGGAAGGTACCCAAACGAAGGAAGGATGGGAAACGACTACGATCATGTGCGATCGTGGCAAACAAGACTCTGTATGACAGGCCGACCTCGGAAAACATATGGATGCAAAAGCTACGAGATCTGCCAACGGACAGTGCAGCACACCTAATCACGCGGATGTTCTAATGAACGTGCTGCAGCACCTACAGCTGGTCTCGAGGCGATGGATAGACGCCGATGCTCAAGCGACGCCAACGTCTAAAGCAACGTTGCGTACCAGCAACGTGAACAAGTGAGCGAAACAAGGGTCACGTGAGGGTGGGAAAAGATGCGCTGCTGACTCTAAAGAGGGAGCGGGAGGGGATAGTGGGATGGAGGGGAATGGAAAGTCAAAGCGGGAGGGGAGGCGAGGGAAAGTCGGAAGCACAGAGAGGAGGGAAGACAACGATGGAGAGGAAGGAAGAGACGAGGAAAGTGGAAAGGGGGAGGGGCTTGTGCTGGACCTTTCAGCCCTCGTTCCCTCATCCCCTTCACCCCCCTCTCCTGCTCTAGATCCCTCCTTCCTCTCCTCCTCCTGCTCCTCCTCCTCCTCCTGCTCCTCCTCATCCTCCTTCCTCCTCCCTCTTCCCTCCTCCCTCTTCCCTCCTCCTCCTCTTCCTCCTCCTCCTCCTCCTGCTCCTCCTCCTCCTCCTTCTCCTCCTCCTCCTCCTCCTCCTCCTCCTGCTCCTCCTCCTGCTCCTCCTCCTCCTCCTCCTGCTCCTCCTGCTCCTCCTCCTCCTCCTCCTCCTCCTCCTCCTCCTCCTCCTCCTCCTCCTCCTGTTCCTCCCCTTCCTGTTTCTCCTGCTGCTCCTCCCGCGTTTCTCGCTCCGAGCAACGTCTCGCATGCGCCCGGAGCGCGGAGCGCCCCACAGCAGCCCACGAGGGCCGTGCGGGCACTCAAACGAAGGCCCCGACCTCGAGGAGAGAGAGAGAGAGAGAAACAAAAAAAAAGGACCAGGGACCAATACATACCTCGGAGGAGGAGGGGGGGAGAGGCCGGGTTTAAAAAACGGAGGCCCGACAGGGCCCTTGGACGGGCGCCGCGCGCGCCCTCGCCCGCGGGCGTCAGGCAGCGCCCGCGGCTCGGCGCTCGGCCTGGCCTTCGGCCTCTTCGTGGGCCGGGGCTGGGCTGACCGCTCGGCTGCGGCTGAGCTCCCTTCGGCGCGGGGCGCTGGGCCCAGCCGCCGGGGAGGAGACCTCCTCTGCTGGACCTGGGTGTGTGTGTGTGTGCTCCCTGCTCCTGACCACCTTTCCCCATGTCCACTGGGGTGTGGGGGAGTGACTCTCCTGCCCACCTTGCCCCATCTCATCGCGGGGCTCGAGGTATGTGGTCCCAGCCCCAGGCCACCTTTCCCTCGAGCGCGCTTCGGCCTGGCTGGCCTCTCTGCATCGCCTGGGCTCCCTTCGGCGCCTCGCGCTGAGCCCAAGGTCGGGGCAGGCTGCCCCTTGGCGTCGGGCAGAGTGTGTGATCCTTGGGCCTGACCACCTTTCCTACGTCCTCGGCAGTCGTCAGTCGCTAGGGGTGTAGTCCCTGCTCCTGACCACCTTTTCCTAAAGCTTGCTGATGGCTAACTTCCTCTTAGTGTACCTGGGTATGTGACCCCTGCTCCTGGTCACCTTTCCCCAGGTACTCGCGTGTCTCTGGCATTGTGGACCCTGTTCCGGTCCATCTTTTTTGCTGTGTGTGCATGGGGGCTCGAGCTATGTGGCCCCTGCTCCTGACCACCTTTCCCTCGGGATCCCGTGTGTCTTGTCCTTATTATGCGTCTAGTCGTCCTGCGTGATCTTGAGCTCCCTGCGCTGCTGAGTGTAGCCAGGCTGCTGGTGTCGTGTGGCTGCGGTGGCGCCACCTTTCTCGCACTCTGCCGTCGGTGTTTGGGTATAGTGTTGGGTTGTGTCGGCGCATGGGCAGGGCTCGCACTAGTTAGCCTCCACGCACCGACTTCAAGTGAGATTCGTGGCTGTCCCACCTCGTCCCGCTATGGCTAGGGGGTCACTGTGCCCTCAGTAGGGGCAAACCCCAGGCCTGGTGATGTTAGATCGTGGTGGGAGTGACCACGCTTGCTCTCTGCTCCGCCATGTCGGCGTTCGGGGGCGCTCCTCCTCCGTCGTGGGAATAGTGGGGGTGGCGAGCTAGGGCGGACCGCGGGGGCGCGGGCAGTGGCCGTCCTACCCCCCCCCCTCCCACCCCCCACCCCCTGCCCCTCACCATCCCCCCTGGCGGGCGCGGGCAGTACTCGTCCTGCCCCCCCCACCCATCGAGCCCGTCTCGAAGTTTGATCCTTGCCTCACCAGAGCAGCGTGGGCTTATGGCGTTGTGTCGAGGGCAGTCTTAGGGTTGCTGGCGGTGGTTGGTCGTAGGTGCTCGGCGGCCGCTGCGGTCACCTGTGGTCTGGATTGCTGGTGGCCGCTTGCGTGCGCGCGCGCCCGCGCTGCTTTGTTCGGCTGCAAAACGTGGCGACACATGCCTGGGGTGTTCCCTTGCATCCAGGGTTTACCCAGGGCTTGCGCCCTAACGCCTCCAGCAACACGTGGCAACGCTGCCCGAAGTGTCCCCGCACGCGCGGGGCTTCCTCGGGACTTGCGTCCTAACGCCGTTAAGGAAATGTCGGTGAGGAGTGCGCTGTGGTTCACGGGCTTGTGAGGTGCGATGGCGCCGGCGTAACGCAGCCGTGGTGCTGTCGGCCTGGTGCCTGTAGGTCAGTTAGCAGGAATTGTTGGGGATGGTGTGGATACAGTGTGTAGTAGGTTCGGCCGCTTGTGTGTGTCGTTATGCGCGAC